TGTGATTGTTTTAATAAAGAAGCTGACTGGTCCATAGCTGGACAGGTAGAGGTTAGGCAGGACTTGCAGACAAAAAGAGATCATGAGGGGCTGGAGAGATGGCTCAGAGGTTGAGAGCACTGACTGCTCTTCCAGAGGTCCTGAGTTCAATTCCCAGCAACCACATGGTGGCTCACAACCATCTGTAATGAGATCTGGCGCCCTTCTCTGTATACACAATAAATAAATAAATCTAAAAAAAAAAAGATTTTCTTGAATTAACTGACTTACTCATGCTTTCATTCGTTGAGAAAGAGTATCATGTAGCCCAGGTTGGCCTCAAACTCCCTACATAGGCTAACCTCCAACCTCTGACCTTTACTCCCTGAGCCCTTCAATCTTGGGCATCCCTAGACTAACAGAAGTAGCTAAATTTTAAATCTTCGGTGCTCAGAATTGAAATCAGAAGTTCTCAAATGCCAGGCAAGTGCTCTAACACTGAAATCCACCAATAGCCTCAATGTTAATATTTTCATTTGAAAATTCTTATGCTCTGCAGACATAATTCTTTTTAAATTAAAAAAAAAAGTGTAGTCTGTGTGTGTGCCCGTGGCGTGGTGCTAGTGTGGAGGTCAGAGGTCAGAGGTCAGTTCTGTGGAGTCTGTTCTCTCCTTCCACCTTCGAGTGAGTCTAGAGGTTGAACTCAGGTCAGCGTGGTAAGAGCTTTACTCACTGGGCCTTCTCTTCAGTCTTGTGATTCTTTTTATTATTATTGTTGTTGTTGTTGTTGAGACAGGGTCTTACTATGTAGCCTTGGCTGACCTGGAGCTTGAGATACAGACCAGGCTGGTCTTGAACTCACAGAGATTCACCTGCCTCTGCCTCCCGATTAAAGGCATGCACCACTACCACACAGCAATTCTTGTTTATTTAAAATCAAACTTAATTGAGAAAATATTACTCTCTACTGTTGATTTTATTCTTCATGACTTCAGAGGTAAAGGCTTCTGTAAAATATGTTTTCTATAGAAATGTTTTGTTTTTTTATATTGAGTTTTTCTAGATTCTTTTAAGAGGTGATTGTTCTCCCCTTCTCCCCCCCCCCCCATCCATATAGACACCATTATGGCTGAATATGGGTCTGCCGAATTGTCATTTCATTTTCTGAGAGTTTAAAATGATTCCCTGCCCGTTGGCTTCCCAAATGATAGAAGAGTAGATGGGTTAGCCACAGCTTGATATTCTTATTCTCGTTTCCCCCATCCTCCACTTTTCCTCCCTGCCTGCCTTCTCCTGCCCCTCCCTCCCAGGGCCTTACAGATGCTAGGCATGGATGGGTCTGTCACTCAAGGGAGGCCTAAGCTCTAGTGCCAGGAGAGGAGAAGGATGCAGGAGGCTGGGTGGTTGAAAAGAGTGCACTGTAGGAGGGAGATGAAGACATTTCATTTCCAGGCTCACAGGCTGCCAGGTAGGCTGGGGAAGGTGCAGACAAAGGCTAAGACCTCTGACCTCAAGACTTGTTGGGTATGCAGCAGAGAAGACTGATCAGACATGGGTTTAAGTCAAGAGAAAGTCTTTGTTAGTGGGCCAGCGGCTACACTGGATGTTCGGGATCCCAGTGTAATCTGGAGCCTTTCTTTGAGCCTTTTTTTTTAAAGGCTCAACCTTTAAACCCATGTTCAAGTTTGACACACTTCAGTTAACAAGAACAGTTAGCCAGAAGCAGAACAATAGAAGCCAAGAAGCAAGGTCAGTACGTTTAGAGACTTTCCCAGACTTTGATGTATATGGTCTTTGTTTTCATTTTGGCAGGTGGTACTGCCTACATGCTGAGTTTTGCAGTCTGAATGGTACTTTCATCATGGAGTCTGGAGGCCTATTAAGGTCTGGGGACCTGTTACAAGGCCATGTGCAGATAAAGCCTACACATTTGTGGCATTCTATAAGAGATAGTTCCATAGCAGATATACTACTGTTTTCTTTCGGGTTCCCTAGATATCTGGTGTCAGTCATTTTGTGCTGACTTATAGCCACCCCACATCACATCCAGCGGCTTGTTCATCATGGCTGGCTCAGTCGGCTTTCTTATAGATCCCCAGGACCACCAGTCCAGGGACGGCCCCATCCATGATGGGCTGAGCCCTTCCCCATCAATCACTGATTAAGAAAATGCTTTACTGGCTTGCCTACAGCTGGATCTTATGGAGGCATTTTCTTGACCAAGGTTCCCTCCTCTCAGATGAGGGAATTTAGCTTGTATCACATGGACATAAAACTGTCCAGCACATGTCTTTAAGGAAGAAAGCAAGAGAGACATGGAGAAAGAGAGTCCAGGAGAGCCAAGCTGTGTTCAGTGATGTGGTGGGTCCACATCACAGCTGGCACACTCTCCTGCAAGGTGGGATCTGACAACATCTCAAAGTTCCGCAGTTAAGGAGCAGGTAGGTATCTGTGAACAGTTTTGTAATTGTTAATAAGTGTATAATTTGTGAATATTTGATATTCATTAGGTCTGTAGGACTTTCTCGTCTGTCCTTTTTTTCCTCCTTTGAATAGCACAGATTTGTTGTCCTCAACAAGCTCATCAGACTCAATTGACTGTCAGTAGTTCTCAGTTCTAATGGTCACACCACTAGCTGCATTTGATCTTTGGCCCCCCACCCACTCCACCTCACCCCTGACTCTGACTCAATGATTGTCTCTTTCTGGGGAAGCTTGGGGCCCCTTTCCTTTCACTTTACGATAGATTCTTATTATTATTTAATTTCCTATTTTCCATGGATGTGCGAGACATGTTTGAGACATGCTTGTGGAGGCCCGAGATTAATGTTCGAAATCATCCTCAATAGCTCTTCCATCGTGTTCAATGAAGCAGAATCTCTCAGTCAAACACAGAGCTCAATGATATGTCTAGTCTTGGAAGGCCGCTTATTTTGGGGGTCCCCTGTCTATACCTTTCTCACCAGTATTTCTGTGCATTCCAGGGATCTGAACTTCAGGGATCTGTGCTTTAAAGATCGAGCTATCTCCTAGGTGCAGTTTATAATAAATTTCTCCACCTGATAACAAAAACAGCAACATTCTCCTCTGCTCCATATAATTTATTAAACATACATAAACCTTCTATAGAGTTCCTTCATAATCCTCACCTTTTACCAAGCATAGTGAACAGGGAACCAATTCATTCTTTCCTAGCTTAGATGCTAACGCTCATGTCAGGAGTCTAGAATAAACCAAAAGCAAGTTCAATTTGAAAAATATACAGCTTTGAAGAAAGCTTTCCTTTTAGCCTTTGATGTCTCAAGGACAAGCAGGGTTGTTTTTCCCAAAATGATGACACCTGGATTTTTTTTTTCCCCTGTGTTTCTCTGTGTAGTTTTGGTGCCTTTCCTGGAACTCACTCTGTAGACCAGGCTGGCCTCGAACTCACAGAGATCCTCCCACCTCTGCTTCCCTAGTGCTGGGATTAAAGGCTTGTGCCGCCGCCGCAGCCGCCGCCGCAGCCACCACTACCCAGCTTACACCTGGATTTTGAAAGTTTTATTTATACTCTGATTAGTGAAAAAAAAAACCCCACAAATCTATCACTGCTTCCTTAGTTTTCACCCAGAAAGCTGTAAAACTTCCCTAAATTCCACAGAACCGCTGCCTTGACCAGTGATGAAAAAAGTCACCTAGTTTGTGTAGAAGTCTGTTTGTAACCCTCTCTCCGAGGACAGGACAGAAGTGATAGCCCAGTCACATGAAAACAGGACTCAGACTTGGAAGAATGAGAGGCTCGATGACTCTATCAGAGGGCTGCCGATCAGCAGGATGCAGCACGCACATGCACGCAGATGAGACCAATTCCTGGGGTACTTGTCACTGAAATTTATGGTCTTAATACAAGACAGGGGTAGGCATCGGACATCACGGTACAACTTCCCTCAACCTCTAATCCCTGAGTGGATTGGGTCATAGGATTGGCACTGAGTCCATATTTTGTGTTATTACTATTTTATATTACATTAATATTCTGGGAGAATGCACATTAAAATATGTGTTCTTCCATAATAACGTTGTTTTCTTGGTTGGGAATCACTCTTGTAAGAACACCAGAAAAAATAGAATGGAAACCTTTTGGGAACTTGTCATTAGCGTAGTCTGGCAGATAATGGCTTGGACTAAAATTGCTATCAGTAAGTGGTCTGGGACTAGACATATTTTCCATGGAGAGCCAAGATAAATTTTTTTGTCTGGTAGGTATGTTTAGCCTGAGAAAAAAAGAATTACCTCAAGATTTTGGAATTCAGGAATGTTATTACTATTATTAATTGTGTGTGTGTGTGTGTGTGTGTGTGTGTGTGTGTGTGTGTGTGTGTGATGGCAAGTATGTACAATTAAGAAGATATGTTTGGGAGTCTTTCTCTCCTTTTACCACATGGAATCAAACTCCAATCACCAGGCTGGCATGGCAAGCACTTTCACCCATTTATCCTGGATCAAGTACTCTCAAAGTGGACCTCATGTTTCCAAGACATACAGGGCAGAGAATGAGTAAGATTCGGGCACATGATGTAAAAGAGACAGAGAGCTTGATCTAGACATTTTAAGAGATGATATCTTCCAGCAGGCAGGAAATCCTAAGCCAGAGTTGGGGAGGGAAAACTGGGGTAGATGCGTGCATTGAGACTTGTTGGCTTGTAGATTATTTTAAAATCACCAGATCATGAGAAACTGGGAAGGAGTTGTTGAAGGGAACAGGGGTATGTGAGAGGAGACAGACAAGCAACTGTGACAGAAAGGAGCAGCTTGTCAGGCTGCAAAACTTGTAAGGGATGGTGACCCGGGAACCACAGAAAGGATCTAGTTGAAGGAGTGACTAAGATACCAGGCAAAATGTGGTTCAAAGACCTACCACTGAGTTCGGTAATCTAGTAATAAGTTGGCTAAGAATGACTTTGATAGAGTCTTGATGGCAAATGTCTCATCAGGGCATACTCAAAAGCTATTTTAAATCTATCCTCAGCCAACTTAAATCTGACCCATAGAGTATAAGCCTTCCAACTCTGTCTTTCTTCAGACAAAGACTGTTTTCAAGTCATCATTTGATTTTCTCTGGCTTTTAAACATGGAAGTTTTATGTGCTGATTTTATTTCATTCCAAGTTTTATATTTTTAGCACAATGTCCAGCTCCAATTAGGTATTAAACATACTTTGGATTGAAGTATTAAACTAACCTTGGAAATAAAACTTCAAAAGCAGATATTCTTCACCAAGAACATGGAAATATGGTATAAAAGGAATGAGTTAGTTGCTGATCACTGTAGATGTAACCAACCGTCTTACTAAATAAGAAACACAGAGCCAATACAGAGATGAAAGCCAAGAGGTCAGAGCAATGGCTAAGAGCTAAAACCTTATCCTTCACTGTCGCTGTGGTACTACCTCTCCAAAAGAGACCCACTTCCTGTGTATCTGTCATTTTATAGTGTTTCTGTTCTGCCTTCTCATTGGTTGTAAACCCAACCACATGACCTCCTCGTCACTGCCTGTCTGTACAGACCTCCAGGTCTTGTATGGTTGGAATTGAGATTAAAGGCGTGTGTCTCCATGCTGTCTGTATCCTTGAACACACAGAGATCCACTTAGCTCTGCCTCCCAAAAGATGGGATTAAAGGCATGCACCACCACCGCCCAGCTTCTGCTAAGGCTTGCTATTAGCTCTGACCCCCAGGCAACTTTATTTATTAACATACAAATCACACTTTAGTACAAATAAAATATCACCATAGATCACTTAATTGTTTCTCTTCTTCTTTTTACTACTTCCAGGTATAATATGCCCATAAAAAAATGAAAAGAGATGGAACTCTAACCCAACTATGGATTCTGGAGAAAGATTGCTCAGCAGCCTAAGGGAAAAACCAGCCTATGTGTAGTTATTTACAGTGATGCATCTTTGCCGCGATATTAATATTTCCCAAATGAACAGCAACTGGTCAAGGGGTGTCCGTGCTTCCCTGTATACGTTGATGTCACTCATAATTCTGGCCACTCTGGTTGGCAATATGATAGTAATAATTTCTATATCCCATTTCAAGCAACTTCATACACCCACGAATTGGCTCCTTCATTCCATGGCCACTGTGGACTTCCTGCTGGGCTGCCTGGTGATGCCTTACAGCATGGTGAGAACAGTTGAGCACTGCTGGTATTTTGGAGAAGTTTTCTGTAAAGTTCACACCAGCACCGATATTATGCTGAGCTCAGCATCCATTTTTCACCTATCCTTCATTTCCATTGACCGCTACTATGCTGTGTGCGACCCGTTGAGATACAAAGCCAAGATCAATACCTTGACTGTTTTTGTGATGATCCTCATTGGTTGGAGTGTTCCTGCTGTTTTTGCCTTTGGAATGATCTTCCTGGAGCTGAACTTAAAGGGAGTTGAAGAACTGTATCACAAACAGGTTGACTGTCTGGGCGGCTGTTCTGCATTCTTTAGCAAAGTACCTGGGGTGCTGGCCTTCATGACTTCTTTCTATATACCTGCATCTGTCATGTTATTTGTTTACTATAGAATATATTTTATAGCTAAAGGACAAGCAAGGTCAATTAATGGCACAAATCTTCAAATTGGATTGGAAGAGAAACACAGAATGCCACAAAACAAAGAAACAAAAGCCGCCAAGACCTTAGGGATTATGATGGGTGTTTTCCTCATCTGCTGGTGCCCATTCTTTTTCTGCATGGTCCTGGACCCTTTCCTGGGCTATCCCATCCCACCCACTTTGAATGATGCACTGACTTGGCTTGGGTACCTGAATTCTGCCTTCAACCCAATGGTTTATGCCTTTTTCTATCCCTGGTTCAGAAGAGCATTGAAGATGATTATCTTTGGCAAAATTTTCCAGAAAGATTCATCTAGGTCTAAGTTATTTTTGTAGTGCAGTCTGTGAAACCATTATATTTTACTGTTTTGTGAAACAGTTGGTGGTTATATTTATGAAAATAGTGAATCAACCATAGACATTAACTTCATGGACTATTTTTTTTTCCAGACAGGGATACTCTGTGTAGTTTTGGATCCTGTCCTGGATCTCTCTTTATAGATCAGGCTGGTCTTGAATTCACAGAGATCTGCCTGTCTCTGCCTCCTGAGTGCTGGGATTAAAGGTATGTGCCACTGCTACTCAGCAACTTCGTGGACTTTTAAAATCAGTTATTTAAGTTAAAATGTATATGATGAATTAAACTTGGATGTTTGTATATGATCTGATATTTGGCATGGAATAGATGTGGTCTTTGACATTTTTGTTATGCAGGCTTAACTGTGGTAAATGCAGTATTAAAGACTTACATGTAACAGAATTGTCCCTTCCCTTAGAAGACCTTCTGTGAATTGACAGTAGGAATTTATTCATTCAGTAATTGAATCACAAGACTGAATTTAGGGCACAAATTAGAAGGAATTTGCCATATACACATACCCACAGATATACACACCTAAATACATACATATATATGAAACCAGGGAAAGTAATAGTGGTTTCCAATGAGATAATCTAATAGGAAGTCAGAAAATATTATAAATTGTATACATTGATTTGAAATTAAGGCATGTCTCAAATAGATTTTATGAAATTAGTTTCAAGTTAAGCATTACTAGAAATATGGATTTATTTAATAACAGTGATATTTTCATGACCAAATTAAAGAAAGGTAGCCAATTAAAAAATAACTAACATGTGCATTCCACTGTCTGTTCATAAGGATGTATTAAATCCTTCTATCTCTAGACATAGTCGCATACATTTGTAATCTCAGTCCTGGAGAGGCAGAGGCAGAAGGATTGCCATGTATTGAAGGCCGGCCTGGCAAACACAGCAAATTCCAGGGTTACAGAGTAAGACCCTGTCTCAAAACCAACAAATCAGTTGCAGACTACAAAATCCTTCCATCTGTTGTTATACTGCACTCTAGGATTATATTGTCTTATTGATTTGGCTGTAGTACACATTTAACAACAGTAAAGCTGGCCTTTGAAGATAGTACATTATAATACAAGTTACCTCTCTTCAGTCTGAAACACCACTTTGAATTCCTTTCCCTATGAGACCTGTTTGTTAAATTTCAAAAAGGAAACATATTTTTGAAGAATTTTCTACACTTTACAGTGAGTTTCCGTTGTTTTATATATTCCAAGATGTTTCTCAAAGATTATTTCTAGATATTGAATAAATCTTTTAAAAACAGTTACATTGATTTACATGAGGTGAAGGGCTTTAGAAATGAAGACCCAAGGATCCAGAAATAACTGTCTGGATTTATGTGCAGTCATATAGACGTGTGACTAAAAGTCAATAAGATATAATCTAATAGTAATAAACTGGATGAAATTGAAAAAACACATTTTATTGTAACCATTATTGTTAGTATACAATAAAGTTTATATATATATATATATTTTTTTTTCATTTGATTTGTTTGTGTTTTCATAATAGACAAGCATATTATCATTAATATTGTTTTAACTTTTAAATAATTACTAATTTTTGTTGTTGTTGTTGAGATGGTCTCATTGTATAGTTTGACTAGCCTAGAACTTGCTATGTAGACCAGGCTGGCCTCAAACTCACAGAAATCTGCCTACCTCTGCCTGGTAAGTGCTGGGATTTAAAGTATATGCCACTACATTCAGCCATTAAGGTTTTTATATACACTACATACAGCTATTAACATTTTTAATTACACATTCCTTACTGTGCTCTTAGTCAGAATTTCTAGAACAAAATTGAATAGAACAACAAGGAATCATCACTACTCAGGTTTTTATTAAATCTTTATCAATCTTTGTTTTTCTTCAAACAAGTTCATGACTCACATAATTCTACATTGTTACTTAGTACCAACCCCCTTAACAGGTCTCTTTCTTTGTAGGCTCTGGTTTAATACTCGTAAGAGATAGCCAACAGGAGGAAAGGCCTGCTTTGTCTTTTTCCCATTTCCAACTTTACTGAGTCTGTATCTTTCCATGCAGAAGGCATTTTTGTGTTTTGGTTGTCCACTCCCCAGCTGGAAACAAGTGAGCTTATAGGAGATTTTTTCATTTCAACTGGACAAACTTTTTTCTAACTGTCATGGGCCTCTGGGGCTCCTGGCCTCTGGTCTCTCTTTTTAACTAAACAGATGAGTGCATGACCTCAGTTAAAATTTTCAGAAGAGTTTTCTCCAGAATTTGAATCTCTATAAATGTGAGCAGGCAGTGATATTTCATATCATCATTAGGAGGAAAGAGCCAAAGTGTTATAGAGTTTCAGTTCGCGCACGTGGTAAGGTCATATAGTCAGACTTCTCCCGATCTGTCCATTTCCAAAATGTGTTGTGAAGCCTTTCTTGGACCTGTGAGTCCCAAGTAGGCTTTCATGAAAAGTTTTTAGTTATATTGATGAGAAAACTCTTATTGTAGAGGAATACAATTGTTCCAAGAAAACAATTACAACAGCATGAATATTTCTTTCTAAGTCAATTTATGATAAAAAAAATTAATTTTCCATGTTCCACTAAAATCATCATATAAATTTTCATTCCAGGTCAGGTAGTAATGTGTTAGCAAGAAAATTTGTTGGAAATGGATCATTAATAATGGTTCTGTTTTAAGAAGTGAATGAGCTAGGAGGTTCCATCATGATTTTTTTTATATATATTTTATTTTACAATACCATTCAGTTCTACATATCAGCCACGGGTTCCCCTATTCTCCCCCCTCCCACACCCTCCCCTTACCCCCAGCCTACCCCCCATTCCCATCTCCTCCAGGGCAAGTCCTCCCCCGAGGATTGCGATCAACCTGGTAGACTCAGTCCAGGCAGGTCCAGTCCCTTCCTCCCAGACTGAGC